CAATGTTGTGGTTTGTGGTCATTGTGTTGCAATGAGTGGTCATAGTGTGATATGTGGTCATTGTGTTGTTATGAGTGGTCATAATGTTGTGGTGTGTGGTCATTGTGATGTAATGAGTGGTCATGTCTTCTTCTGAATGTGTTTTCTGAACTGTAATTTCATTGTGCTCTGTACAATGATAATAAAGGTCTATCTTATCTTATCTTATCTTATCTTATCTTATCTTATCTTATCTTATCTTATCTTATCTTATCTTATCTTATAACGTTGTAATGTGTGGTCATAATGTTGTAATAATGTTATGACTGGTTAGAGTGTATCCTCTCAGGGTCAGGTCTTGCTGCTGGAGTGACAGGTCAGTCCTTGCTCAGAGTTTTATCTAAGAAGCACGCTCCACCTGAAGTTACTCTGAAATATTTCAGAAGCATCTGAAGGTAAACATGTAAATAAATAACAACAAATAATAAATAATAAAAAAAATTAAATAAAACCAGTTTTGTGTGATAAAGAAACAGGGAGTCCTCACCTTGCTCTGCATGTTCTGAATGGGTCTGGACCCTGCAGAGCTGAGCGGAGTGATGGTCAAGCTACTGGTCATTTTGTTCTGACTCGCCTTCACTGATGAGGGCTGGCGTGGGGAGCAATGAACTGTCCCTGGTGGTGTTTCTGAGGCAGTTTCAGGTCTGACTGTCACCACGGGGCCTCCACAGACCTCAGAGGGTCTCTTGTACTGAGGACCCAGGTGGATGTGGATCTTGTTATCCTCCGTTGTAATTATGTTGCCGCTGTACTTCCTGACAGGTTCTGGTTGCTTGTCGGAGGTCATCCTGATGAGGGTTCGTCCTCCGGTGGTGGTCTGGTGGGGACTGGATGAAGAACACGCCTCAGACACGGGGGTGGTGCTGACTGTGATGATGGACACTGGGGACTGGAGACCACCAGAACTGCTTCTTGTCTCCTCTGGACTTCTTGTCCTGGAGATGGTGGTTATCGTAATGGGAGACTTGGATCGATGAAGACCTCCTGATGCACCACAGCCACTGGTCTTCGAGGCCACAGCTGTGGGTTTGGGGACAATTGTGATCCGTGGTTTTTGAAGGCCAAGAGTCGGGATGATGGTGGTGCTGGAGAAGAAGTCCTCAGCTCGTGGGCTGGTGATCTCCAGGGTGGCGGTGCTGGTCCCAGGATCTGGCATCACGCGGATGTGTAGAGGTGGACCTGGTCTTTGGATCGCTTCAGGTGAACGGAGTGAGGAGGAGCCTTTGGTCTGAGTCAGCATGATGGCCTCCTTCTTCATCCAGGGGAGTGAAGATGTTCTCATTCCAAGTTCTGCTGATGCTGGAGGGTATCGGTTCAGGACTGCTGGCCTCTTCAGACCCTGTTGCCTGAGGTTGCTCATGAGGTGGTTCTCCTCTTGAACTGATTTCCGGATGAACCCTGCAGTTGTGTCATCTTCAGCGGACTCGGTGACCGGGTCAGTCTGGACCGCTGTGGAGGTAAGCGGGACGTCCACCATCCTCCTGCCATTGGTGCCGGGCCTCAGAGCTCGGCTGTAGCGCCAGGCAGCTTCCAGCTCTCTGCTCAGGTTCTCCACTTCCTGACTCATGCTCTTCTTCTTCTCCTCCTCTTCCATGAACTTCTGCTGGAGGACAGAAAAGTCCACCTGCAGCTGGGACAGCTGGTCTTCCTTGTTCATGAGCTCGTGGATCTTCTCCTTAAGGACCTGGACATCGTCCTGAAGCTCTCTGGTTCTGGCTTCCTCCATCCTGCAGCGGACTCTCAGCTCGGCCTCCGGACTCGTGGTTTCTCCTTTCTCCACTGCTTTGCTCCTGGCGATCTGGCTCTTCATCTCCTCCAACATCTTGGAGAGGGTGTTGCCTCTGTCCTGCTCTGTCCTGAACTTCTTCTCCAGCAGATCATACTCATCCTCAGTCTTCATCAGATCTCCCTCCACCACCTCCAGCTGCTTCAACCGGCCTCTGAGCTGATCCAGCTCCAGCGTGAGTTCCTCCACCTTGTTGAGGTCCTGGATGGACGATGCTGTCTCCTGGAGTTCCTTCATCCTCATCTTCATCCCTTTCAGCTCATCGTTCAGCTTCTTGCACTTTTCTTCTTCACCTGCAAGTTTGTCCTTCACCTCCTTGTTGTCTTCTGTGAGAGCGGACACACGGACCTCCATCTCAGATTTGAGTCTGAGAAGTTTCTTGCTCTCCTCGATCAGTTTCTCGGTCACCTCCATAACTTTGCCCTGTTCTGTCTTCAGCATCTTCCTCAGATCAGCACCTTTCTGCTCCTCCTGCCTCAGCCTCTCTGATAAGTTCTTCTTGTCCTCCACCAGAGTGACTGTGAAGGACTTCATTTTCATGACATCATCTTTAAGGAGCATCTCTGCCTTCTCAAGCTTCGACTCTGAAGACTCCAGGTCCTTCAGCTGGGCTTTTAATCGCTCCACTTCTGACAGCAGATCCGTCAGAGTCCTCCTCTCCTTCTCCAGGTTGGTGTGAAGCTGGGAGCACTCAGATTGGCTCCTGCTGAACGCTCCCTCCAGTTTCTCCATCTCCACCATCTTCTTCTGGAGTTTGTCCACATCCAGCCTCAGCTCCTTGCTGTGGTTCTCCTCATCCTGCAGCTTTGTCCTCAGCTCTCTGCACTGTGTCTGGGTTTTGGTGATTTCTTCATCTTTCCCTTCCATCTCCAGAACTTTCTTCCTCAGGTTCTCCACCTCAGCCATGAGGGAGGAGTTCCCACACTCGCCTCTGCTGATCTTCTCCCTCAGCTGCTGCAAGTCCTCATCTGATCTCTGCAGGACTTTGTTGCTCTCTTCCAGATCCTCTATCTTCTGAGTCAGCCCGGTGAGCCTCAGCCTCAGCTGGCGGTTCTGGGACTCGTGCTCCACCAGCCTGGCAGTCATGTTCTCGTGCTCCTGACTGGACCTGGTCTGTTTGAGCTCCAGCTCGGCCTCCAGCTTCAGGACCTTCTGTTCGTCCTCTGTGGCGGCGTCAGTCACAGCTGCCAGCTGCTGCTCCTTGTCCTGTAGTTTCTGACTGAGGGCCTGGATCTTCTGGTTCTGCTGGTCCATCTGCTCCACGTGCTGCTGTCGCTCGTCCACCAACATCAGCGTGAAGGACGTCAGCTTCACCAGCTCGTCTCTGACCTTCTCCAGCCTCCTGCTGTGCTCCTGGTCCTTACGAGCCTGGTAGGCCTTCTCCTGCTCCAGCAGCCTCTTCAGCCTGAAGAAGCAGAGACAAAGGAAGACATCAAACATTCTGCACAGACAGATCTCAGAACAGAGATCTGAGTTTAGACTTCCATACGAAATTCAATAGATTTAATAAGAAGGTTGTTTAGTTGATTGAACATGTTAAACCTTAGAAATGAATTCAAACTGTGACCAGGGGGTTCTGATGTTATCAGTCCATTAAATGGACGTTATTAGCAGTTATCAGTCCTAAAGAATGGCTTCAGACTGTCCCGACAGTCCCCCAGTGGGTTAATATATCAATGACATTGAATGTGTAAATAACCAAAACATATTTTAATTAAGTTTTTATCCAGGGGCATGGTTTTCTTGCTGTTTTCTCGCTGCCCATGCCTGGTCTCAATCCTGGCTCTCCTGCTCTCTGGTCCGGCGCTCTACCCATTGCCCTACATTGGGCCTGCAACAATGGTGTACTTTATGGAAGCCCATGACACTTTCTCTAAAACTAACCTTACTGGCTTTATGCCTCATATTAACCAGATTGCATAAAAAAAACATAGTGGCTTTATGCTAGCCTGGCCCTTGCCTTCCTACGCAGCTCCGCTCAGTTCTAGTTTCCCTTCACTGCTCCGTCTGGGACTTCTCCCATTGACAAGGATTTTGCTGGCAGATTTTTAGCCGGGCCAATCAGAGAAGAGAACGTCAATTTTCTGCACAGTGTCTGCTTGTAGTTTTTTCAACTGGGCCAATCAGCAAACAGAAGGCGAAGTTTTGAATGACGTCGATGTTCTGCGCAGTGTCTGCTAGTTAGTTTAGCTACGGCAGTGGAGGAAGAGAATGAAGAAGAGAATGAAACAAGTCCGTGTTGATAAGGCTTCCAAATTAAATTTAATTTGTCTGACAAAGCAGCAGCTCTCATTTACAGCAGTCTCGTTTGGCTCAGTACGTTTCTCCTCTCAGTAGGGTTGTTTACAGCACACGCAATTTCCGGTTATCTTCTTAGCTTAGCCTCCTTCACAATGACAGACACACACATGCTTCAGCAGAGGCCACGCCTCCTGTAAGAATCGCTTCTCTGTGCAGCGAGTCCCGACCCTTGTACGAAGCAAAGTGAAGGACAGGGTCTGGTTTTTACCAGGCTAGCTTTATGCGTCATACAAACCAGCTAGTTCTGACATTATCAGTCCATTCTATGGGACGGAGAACCCTCTAGGAGCCACAGTAGGGACATTCTGAAGCCATTCTATGGGCCTGCTAACGACTAATAACGTCCATTTAATGGATAATAACATCCGAAGTGGGTGCAGCAACAAGTTTTCTTTTACACAGGTCTGGACCCTGGAGTCCTCTAAAGGTGTTCTTTGGTCTTTGGCTTCTTCTTGTTTTGAACCAGAACCCGTGTTGTTGGACCAGACAGACACTCTTTGTGGACGTGAGCCCACCTCTCCCTCTCCTGTTCCAGCAGGTTGGTGAAGTCGTCGCTCTTGTTCATGAAGTCGGCGTGTTTCCGTTTCTCGTTGCTGAGCTCTGTGACGGTTCGACGGTGGCATTTCTCGGCCAGCAGCAGCTGCTCCAGCATCCGTCTGTACGTCTCCCTCTGCTTGTCCTCTAGACGGTCCAACTGAGGGAAAAAAAATCACAGAAAGAACATCTGGAACGTTTGTTCATCAGCTGTGGGTGATGCCAGCTGTGCAGCATCCATCAAGTTCCTCCAAAAAAACAGCAAGACTCAAACTATTAAAAACAATGTCCAAAATCAAATCTGACATCTGCCTCTGTCAGACCCATTTGGATCAGGTGACCTTACGAATACTGTAGAACCAGCTGAGGGTTCTTCACTGACCTCATTCATGGGAGTCTCGTACACATCATCAGAGCTGCAGCTGCCGTGCAGCAGGAATCCGTCTCTCTGCAGAGCCTGCAGGGCTTTCCTGGGCACAGCAGACCCATAATGGGCCTCAAGAACCTCAGGTCCAGTTCTGTCAGATTTCAGCAACCTGATGATGTCCTCCCTGGCCTGAAGAGACAGAGCAGAAACATCAGAACATGGATCTCCTTCCTGTCCTTCAAAAAAACGTGATTCTGATTCGTCAACATGACCGTGTGGTTCTGATTCTTTTACCTGACCATGTGGTTCTGATTCTTTTACCTGACCATGTGGTTCTGATTCTTTTACCTGACCAT